CCACCATCCACGGCAAGTCGGATTGGCGGTGAAGATCACAGAGGATGGACCACATGCGATGCCGGTCCTCCGTTCACGGTTCGCCATAGACGCAGGTAAGCCGCCAAGGTGGCTCCCCCGGCGCCGTCGTCACATACGCATCAATATATCTTTTATTTATTGTTTTTACATCAAGACTCATAGACTCATGCCAATACAAAGCCAAACCACCACTAAGACCATCACTATCTGACGCGTCAAAACCACTTAAACCTAACCGAGAGCGGTACCTCTTCATCAAAACCACTATAATGCTACTGCCAATCAAAGCAAAATAAGATGCATAAAAGATAAACATCACATGCAATCAATATAAGTGATATGATATGGCCATCATCATCTTGTGCTTGTGATCTCTATCTCCGAAGCACCATCATGATCACCATCGTCACCGGCGCGACACCTTGATCTTCATCGTAGCATCGTTGTCGTCTCGCCAACTATTGCTTCTACGACTATCGCTACCGCTTAGTGATAAAGTAAAGCAATTACAGGGCGATTGCATTGCATACAATAAAGCGACAACCATATGGCTCCTGCCAGTTGCCGATAACTCGATTACAAAACATGATCATCTCATACAATAAAATATAGCATCATGTATTGACCATATCACATCACAACATGCCCCGCAAAAACAAGTTAGACGTCCTCTACTTTATTGTTGCAAGTTTTACGTGGCTGCTACGGGCCGAGCAAGAAACGTTCTTACCTACGCATCAAAACCACAATGATAGTTCGTCAAGTTATTGTTGTTTTAACCTTCTCAAGGACCGGGCGTAGCCACACTTGGTTCAACTAAAGTTGGAGAAACTGACAACCGCCAGCCACCTGTGTGCAAAGCATGTCGATATAGCCAGTCTCGCGTAAGCGTACGCGTAATGTCGGTCCGGGCCGCTTCATCCAACAATACCACCGAATCAAAGTATGACATGCTGGTAAGCAGCATAACTTGTATCGTCCATAACTCACTTGTGTTCTACTCGTGCATATAACATCAACGCATAAAACAAGGCTCTGATACCACTGTTGAGGAACGTAGTAATTTCAAAAAAAAATCCTACGCACATGCAAGATCATGGTGATGCATAGCAACGAGAGGGGAGAGTGTGTCCACATACCCTCGTAGACCGAAAGCGGAAGCGTTAGCACAATGCGGTTGATGTAGTCGTACGTCTTCACGATCCGACCGATCAAGTACCGAACGCACGACACCTCCGAGTTCTGCACACGTTCAACTCGATGACGTCCCTCGAACTCCGATCCAGCCGAGCTTTGAGGGAGAGTTCCGTCAGCACGACGGCGTGGTGACGATGTTGATGTTCTACTATCGCAGGGCTTCGCCTAAGCACCGCTACGATATTATCGAGGTGGACTATGGTAGAGAGGGGCACCACACACGGCTAAAAGATCCAAGAGATCAATTGTTGTGTCTCCAAGGGGTGCCTCTCTCCCCATATATAAAGGAGTGGAGGAGGAGGAGGGGCCCGGCCACCCTAGGCGCGCCCCATGAGGAGTCCTACTCCAACGGGGAGTAGGACTCCCCTAATGGAGAGGAGAGGAATGGAGAGAGAGGGGGAAAGGAAAGGGGGGCGCCGCCCCCCCCCCTCCTTGTCCAATTCGGACTGGGAGGGAGGGGGCGTGCGGCTGCCCTTTGGCCGCCCCTCCTCTTCTCCTTTAGGGCCCAATAGGCCCATTAGTCTCCCCGGGGGGTTCCGGTAACCCCCCGATACTCCTGTATATGTCCAGAACTCCCGAAACCATTCCGGTGTCCGAACATAGTCGTCCAATATATCGATCTTTACATCTCGACCATTTCGAGACTCCTCATATTGTCCGTGATCATATCCAAGAGTCTGAACTACCTTCAGTACATCAAAAACCATAAACTCATAATATAACCATCATCGAACTTTAAGCGTGCGGACCCTACGGGTTCGAGAACTATGTAGACATGACCGAGACACGTCTCCGGTCAATAAACAATAGCGGAACCTGGATGATCATATTGGCTCCTACATATTCTACGAAGATCCTTATCGGTCAAACCGCATAACAACATACGTTGTTCCTTTTGTCATCGGTATGTTACTTGGCCGAGATTCGATCGTCGGTATCTCAATACCTACTTCCATCTCGTTACTGGGAAGTCTCTTTACTCGTTTTGTAACACATCATCCCGCAACTAACTCATTAGTTGCAATGCTTGCAAGGCTTAAGTGATGTGTATTACCGAGTGGGCCCAAAGATACCTCTCCGACAATCGGAGTGACAAATCCTAATCTCGAAATACGGCAACCCAACAAGTACCTTCGGAGACACCTGTAGAGCACCTTTATAATCACCCAATTACGTTATGATGTTTGGTAGCACACAAAGTGTTCATCCGGTAAACGGGAGTTGCATAATCTCATAGTCATAGGAACATGTATAAGTCATGAAGAAAGCAATAGCAACAAACTAAACAATCAAGTGCTAAGCTAATGGAATGGGTCAAGTCAATCACATCATTCTCCAAATGATGTGATCCCGTTAATCAAATGACAACTCTTTGTCTATGGCTAGGAAACATAACCATCTTTGATCAACGAGCTAGTCAAGTAGAGGCATACTAGTGACACTCTGTTTGTCTATGTATTCACACATGTATCATGTTTCCGGTTAATACAATTCTAGCATGAATAATAAACATTTATCGTGATATAAGGAAATAAATAATAACTTTATTATTGCCTCTAGGGCATATTTCCTTCACTATTATGCCCACTCCTGGCTACCCTGACTCACCGAAAACCCCCCGCCTTCGCACGTGTGCATTTTTCGCCCGGAACAAGTTGCATGTGTTCAAGCCGTTGTAGAGCAGCCACTCTACATTGACGCTAGCCTAGAGCGGATGCGGCCTCTCACTCGCGCCAACATTGAAGCGGCGCGCCGGCTGAGACCGCCACCCGTGTGTCCCCGGTGTCCGTGTCTGTTCAATGCTGGAGAGACATTTCTAGTACGAGACGGGACTGATATCTACCACGCCCATTCAATGCCGACCATCCGTATGCAGCCATTAAGTAGGCTTGTCGACTGAGGAACCAGCATCGTGCATTAACGCACTCGGACACTTGGCATTATCGGAATCCGCAATTTGAAGGCGGCCACACCCGGCTAAACTCCACACCACAACACACCTGCTCCACATCCTTCTCCCTTGCATAACATCCACCATCAACGGGAGCGGGAACACTCTGTCGGGAGAACCTATCAATGGTGATGAAGCATGAGATCGCCACCCTTGCGGCCACCTGGCAGAGCCGCCGTGCCGAGCGGATCGAGGCCGAGCTCTTCGACGATGACCCCACAATGGAGACGGGATATGATAATGACAACGTGTTGAAGCCGACGCCGATGCATGTCGGCTTGGCTATGGAGCAGGCACAGGAGGTCGAGGATGATAAGGTCGCCAGCTACGCCTCCTACACGTTGTGGTCCAACTTTTGGGGGCACATGTGGCAGGTGGACAGTGACTGACCGTTCACGTCCATCATCGACCTCATGTCCACCGGCACTGGTGATGGACAGGTCGTGGGCTCCTCCAAAGATGATTATGGCTGGGAGGCGGCAGGGCATTGTGTCCCAAGTGGACCAGTTCATCTCTTATGTTCTACTCTTTCTCGCCAGAGACCACACCTTCACTTAAACAATGTCTTCGTTCATGGAGACTGCAAATGGAGGACGTGGTCGTCGATGCGAAATACAAAGAAAGTGAACGACGGGCGCCACTGTAGGATGGCTTTAGGGTTCGACCTTTTTATTCTAAATGTTCAAAATGTAATTAAAACTTTTCAAAATGTAATAAATTTCGTCATGTTTATATGAAAATCCATCGTGTTTGCATGAGTTTTGTCTGGTTAGTTCAAAAATTGGTTGAAATGTATGTAGAAAGTGTTGGATGGCCAACTCCCACATTCATGTCCGTGGACTAGTGCCTTTGTCCGTGAAGAATGCCGAAGCAAATTTGTGGGTGAATAGGGATAGCGTAGAATAGTATTTCTCGGATGAATATGGATAGCGTTGAGGTGCATTGAAGGAAGAACTTAACAAATAAGAGGGCGGTGTGTGTGAGTGAGTGAGTGAGTGAGTGTGTGTGTGTGTGTGTGTGTGTGTGTGTGTGTGTGAAAACGTTTGATTTAGAGTGGTCATATCATCATCGGGTTTCAGAACCCTAGTGTTATATGTTGCGCGGGTAACTAGTTACGTGATAGAAACAACCTAAACTTTTGCTTCCTGATAATGGTAAAATATTATAAAATATGAATAATAAATAGTTAATACTATTACCATCAATCTGCAGCAACATACTGATAGTTTTTTCTCAAAGGTTAAAGTACATGTTTTCTACTTCCTCTTATAAGCTTAGAAGGCCTATCAAGTTTATCTTAAGTCAAGTTGAAGTTGTATCTGCAGCCTAAGTTAGAAAATGTTTAAGTGTATGAATTCTATATGATGGCATTTAGATCAATGGTAGTAAGCAATGCATCCAATAATTTTTTGAACTAATTAGTCTCATTCTGGATTACTATGTGGGTGTATTTCCATTAGTATTGCCGCATATTAAAAGATACTACATTTCAATAATTGTTGAATAGTGGTGTAATTGTCACACTCAATAGAAAACTGTAATTATCTCTCATTGACTATCCCTATATTTGGGTATGCTTCATATTAATGTTGAAATAACAGTTGCACCCATTGAAAGCTTGTCATAAATGTCCTATTTAATGCACATTTGTATATGCACTCAATTAATGTTTACCTCTTATAGTGATGTCTATTTAAGCACCCACATCTTGCTTGTTTCAGAACCCCTCACCCTGCGAGTTCACCAAAGTCCCTCGTAAATTGACTTGCCATCTCAAGCTCAAAACACCCTTAACCAACTAATAGTGTCTTCCGCGCAAAGTTTCTACTCCATGAGGACAACCAGCATCCTCCTTGTCGTTGTTCTCATGGTCATGTATGCTATCAATGCATCAGCTACGCGTTGTGGAGATTCGATGGGACTTCAATTGTGGCACACGACAATAGTGAATGGGTGGGAGCCAATCGTCAACATAAATGATGAGCACATCCAGGAGCTCAGTAGCTGGGCGGTGTTGGAGTTCAACAAGCACGTGAACTGCACAGTCAAGTTCAACAAGGTGTTGAGCGGCCGACAACAACTCGTATCCGGCATGAACTATGAGCTCATCATTGATGTGACACACTTTGGTGGGGAAGATGGTAACTACAAGGCTGAGCTTTATGAGCAGGAGTTGACGAAAAAACGCCAGCTCCTCTCCTTTACCAAAGTGAAATAGGCGGGCATCAGTTACTTCATTAGCAATAATTGGGTTCCTGGAATGTTGTTAGTTCATTGTTTAATCCAATAATAAATTATCCTCTTACATTGTCATGAGGTTTGGAGCTTGTCAAAACATACATATGCAATTATGATGAGGGAAAACAAATGTAACACATAAATAAAACCAGCAATGTCTGAACTCTACGATAGATCTATAATTTCATAAAAGTAATGGTTATTATAAAAATAGTAATAATAATATACTATGGTGTGAACACAGTCCTGAAGCTATATATTCGATACAATTTTTTTGTGCATCATACTAATAACTTATAAAGAAGGTGACTATATATAAGCGGCCTCCCTGATTGTCCATGTAGGAGTCCACCGGCCATTTGACTTGGGAAAGGTGACAGACTTTGTGGTGGCATCGGTTCCAATAACTACCAACCTAATATAGAATTGCTAATATGGGGATTCCTCCTATTTTCTACTTTACTCGAGTGACAGGGAGCACTTTACCTCAATAAAAGGTACATATTAAATATTACTAGAAACAATGAACATAAAAAATGAAAGATGAAAAAAGAAAAAAGAAAAAAGAAAAAAGAAAAAAAAAGAGGTAGAAAAAGCACGTGAAAAATTATAAGTAAAACCCGGAACATGGGTCGGCCCTACAACACTCTTATTAGGGAAAATGGTAGATATCCTAAACAATAAGCATAGACTAGGATTTCCTGGAGGCAAAGATGGGAAAATTTGAACATGGATAATTGACATGTCTCCAACGTATCTATAATTTTTTATTTAAATGCTACAATATTATCACTTCGATATACTTTTTATATCATTTTATATTATTTTTCTGGATTAACTTATTAATTTAGCACCTAGTACCAGTTCCTATTTTTTGCTTGTTTTTTGTTTCACAAAAAATCAATATCTAGGAAGGTCCAAATATGATGCCAATTTTTTTCTAGACAACGAAGGACCCTAGAAGCTGCGAGAGAGATCGAGGGGACCCATGAGCCAGGCATATGCACACGTGGTGTGGCCTCGTGGGATAGTCGCACCACCTGCCCATGTGGGGGCCTTGAGACTCCGTTTGACCTAATTATTCCGCCAATAAATCATATTCCCAAAACAGCCCAGCAGGTACTTGACGTGAATGCATAACGTTGTGTACCCGAGGTCCGTGTACAATCACAGCACCGCAGCCCACAGCCAAGCTATATCCATGAGAAAACATATCAGCACACATCGCAGCGCTATTCTAGATGGCACAAATTTCGTTCTCCGGGTAGCTCGTCCACCAAAACGCCCCACTCTGCCCATCTTCCACTTCATCATTTTTTTTCCATTTTGTTGGGCTTTGGGTGGCATATACCCTTTAGCTCTCAGGTGTATATGCAGCTGTTATGGGGAAACCAATACTAATTTCAAAAAAGATTTAAAAAATCTAAAACTTTTGGATTCAGACTTGACCTTTTGTTGTATTCGTGTAAAAGTTTCTCGAGTTAATTTCTGGGTAAAAAAATTACAAGGACAAAAACTATGAATAGTAACTCGTACATAGTACTATTGATTTTTTTTTCATCCAGATTACAATGAATGATAATCCTTGGCGATTTTTTTATACAAGTACAATAAAAGGACAAGTTTGTTTAAAAAAGTCATATTTTTTGGACTTGATTTTTTAATTACTAATTTATTTTTTTCATATCAGATGCATATACGCACGATAGCCAAATTCTGCTTGTCGCTCTCTCTTGTGTTTAGATTAAGGTAGTCACTGTAGCCAAAGCCAAGTCAGGCACTTCATCACTTTGTTTTCCCCACCGAAGCAAATGAAACTACTAATCCACTAGAGTCACCGCCGTGGATCAATTTGCATAAATTGATGCAATCCACTTTGTTTGCCTGACTTGGCTTTGCATCAAAAGAAAGTAATAGCTTTACGTCAATTTGCATGGATTGCATCAACAATCGATGGCTTCCATCTCATCTGACCAATGATAATGCCGGCCGGACGGAGAGGAATATCCAAGACTTGATGGATGGATGGACGCAGATATATCTCAACCCATTCATTGCCAGATTTTTGCGGAGTTATTTTGTTCTCTTATGTAAAGTTAACTCTACAAGTTCAAGATGATTAACATGTAGCATCATCAAATTACATGCATGGAGTATGGTCCAAGCAAGTATTATGGTTCGTACGTAGACGTAGGTGCGCCCAAAGCCTTATAATTTAGCCATAACAGTGTACATCCATATCCATCGCAAGACGGCATGCACGTTCACTATAATTAGTGGTGGTCGGCTGATCACTGCACTCCAATATGTTTGCACGATCCGTTGCATCTTGCACATTACGATGGCCGCCCGGAGACACGGAGCACGAGTAGTTAGTTTCTTTTGGTCCCTGTGATACATGTGTAATTGGTGTTGGTTCTTAACCAAAGGAAGAGTATTATTTTATTTTACTCAGCCTAGAATGAGCCAACGCTGCTGCTGCTGCTGACCCGGAATGATCCACGTTGACCGGCATGACTGTCGGCTGGGTGGCTGATCATATGCATATGCATTTGCACCCGGAAAAGACACGACTATGGCTGTACACACACGGAGTCGGAGACACGTCGTGAGTCCCCGAGGGAATCGAAGGCTGACGTCGCGTCCCGTCCCGTCGGGTGCATGCGAATCACCGCCGTGGAGGATGCTCAGTCCTCCATGCGATGCGATTCTTCTTCCTTTCTTTCGACTGTGTGCAAGTGTGTTCAACAGTGTGGAACGTACGCTCCACTTGCCTACAACTACTAGTAGCAGCTAGTCTATCAAGCTGAAGTAGCACTACCAGGTTATCTCTAAACTAAGGCCAATTTCACTGCGCGACCCCATCATGTCCAGCTCCGTCCGTTTGGGGTAAAAGAAACAAAAGAGGCACTGGTGGAAAAAAGGCCTTTGGTCGCGGTTCGCAACTGCCATTAGTCGCGGTTGCGCAACCGCGACCAAATAAGCGCGACTAAAGCCCTCCACCTTTAGTCGCGGCTGCTTAAGAACCGCGACTAACGGCCCGTCCACGTGGGCGCCAGGCGGCCGTCGGGGCGGAGGACCTTTAGTCGCGGTTCTTCT